TTCTGGTCTGAAAGAGGAAACAACACAGAGCAGAGAGGTTAAAGGTCAAAGTTTAAACTCTTGACTGGTACAGCAGCCAATCAGGAAGATGATCAGAGACCACTGTGCTCTGGTTGATGATGGTTGAACCTTAAACCTGAGCCACAGTTCCCTCACTGCTCTTTTCAAGCAGCAGACTCACTCTGTGTTTACTAATTAGAGCCAAAAATAATTCACTTTAATCACATTTATAAGAGTGTAGGCAGAGTGTTGCTTACCATAACTATACAAACTGATTAATTACATTTAAGACACGTCCTTAATGCTAATATGTGTCCACTATTTTCACCTGAGAGGAATTTTATCCACATTAGAGCTGCAAACGTCTGGGAATAACAAATCTATATCTATATATCTATATCTAATCTATATCTATATCAACAACTAGTGTTCACAGTCTGCTGGAGCTGTGAGTGTGTGGAAAAAGATAAATGCACTTACAGTCATTATAAAATGACTGTTCCACTTGAACGACGTATTGTTGTTGCCGTTAGCAATTAGCCTATAGCCTATCGTTCATTCAAAAGGCGCGATGGGTGCTTCGACTTACGAAAATTTCGACATACGAAAGACCCCCAGGAACGTGTTAATTTTGTAAGTCGAGGTACTATAAAGGTGGACAGCTTCTTTGACTTATTGCTACTCCTGCATCAAGCCCAGCTGTAGGAACTTACATGTATTAAAGACGATTTGAAAAGAAGTTATTACACTTTAAATAAGTAAATGTCACAAAAAAAATCACAATTTAACTTTATCTCATCAGTGAGTCTCATTGGCCCAACAGCACATACGCACAAACCTGTCTTTATTATCATCATTATCAAAATTATTGGTACTATTTTTGTTACCTTTTGGTCATTCTTTACAATTCTCACATAATATGTGTGTAAGATAAAGACGGGAAAAGTTGCTATGTCAGCATCCCATGAAATATTCCTGCTCAGCAACAACTATTCAGTACTTCCCTCTGTCCCTCCTTCTATCAGCAGACCAAAAAGTGCTATAAGGGGGGAACATGGTGTAAATGAGCTTTTTAATTATTTAGAATTTAATAATCTAAATTGTATATATATAAAGTGACAATGAAAGAAATTCAGTTCCCAGCAGTAGACACAGTGATACCTGCTGGTCTCACCTGCATATTCAGCCGGTGAAAAGCAGACGAGCAGAATCCAGCAGAATATCACAGATTTGCAAGTATCCATCTCAGGTTGTCCTGCAGATCCCAAATTCATGAGTGTTACATAGTTTAAAAGAGAAGCTGAGTCGACTGAAAATACACAAGAAGTTTATGTTACCAAAGCTTTTGATATGATCCACAAACATAAACTAAGGTTTACAAATGTGTATGTCTAACAGTGAATAGTGATTATTTACCCTCCAAAATGTATATGTTCAGCAAATGTGTGAAGGAATTACCTGATATGACAGGATATCACATGTTAGATGAGAGCACAAAGTGCTAACAGTAGCAGAAATGTGGGCATGTGATGTGGGGCGCCGTTTGTAAAGTGAAACATCCTGAAATTAACGGCAACATTTTTCCACATTTAAGTCAAAGCCCTACAAAACATTTATTCGGGGCAGTTTTTACAACATTTCATATTTAAAACACAATTTTAAATGTTAAATCTAAATATTATATTTAAATCTAAATCTTAAATCTTAAATCTAAATGTCATATTTAAATTTAAATATTAAATGTAAATGTTACAGGAAACTAAATATTTAGCTAACATGAAAATTTATTGTACGGATCAACGGAAATACCAAAATAAAAGCTTTACTAAATCCTCCGGTGCAAAAGTGTGCTGGTAGTGGTCAGATTGTGTCTGTTCTCCCCTGATGGTCACTTCTCACTGTCATGAGCTGCTTCACTTCTGCACATCCAGAGATTTAGATGAAAACATCGGAGGGTCCATTCTCTTTCAAACACTCGTTTCGGTGTCTCACTATGGGGAACGCTCTAAGTCAGCTAGGTCATACTAGCTTACCATAGCTACCCGACCGAGAGAAGAAAAAATATCAGCGTCAGCTGTCCAGCCATTCCAAGCTAGCTACACCAAACTTCCTTAATATGGCAGACTGCAAACCGCTGCCCAGAATTTGCCCCTGCGGTTGCCAAATCTCAGGTTCAGATACACATGACGCTTGTGTGATGTGCCTCGGGCTGCAACACGCCCAAGTGGCTATTTCCACACTGGGTTCATGTGAACACACCCTAAAAAGCCTTTGCTGAAGGTTAGCCCGTCAGGCTAGCCTGTCAAAGAAGGACCCAAAGCTATCTCAAATCAGCCCACCAATGAGGCACCCTGAGTCAGTCACACCAGGCACCAGCTGTGGGGATGAGATGGATATTGTCCTCCCACTGGTGGACGATGCCGAGATCAGCTGCGAAGCTATGTTATCTGATACCGTTCAGGTTAATGACGAGCTACTCAGGGAAACCTCTGAGGGAGCGTCGGAACATCTCATCTCGGACAAGGATGACAACGTTTTCTTTGCCCCCTCTGTTTGGAATTCTGCGACACAAGGGGCCGACTGTGATAACCCCGGCACATAGTCCCGCGGCATAGAGTTATTTGATGTTGCAAAATGGGCAGCTGAAAAGCTGGCAATCCCATGGCCCACTGTGACAATGGAGAACTCCACCTCACGATATGAGGGTAAAAGGCTCCCCAAAGCACAGCGCACTACTAAGCAGGTACTACCGCTTTTCCCTGAATGCGTGGACGAGGTCACACGCTGCTGGGCAAAGCCATTTTCGCCACCCAACCCCGTTCAGGGAGCAGCGGCGTTTGACTGCGCTGGAATGAAAGAGAAGGGCATCTACCAAATTCCCACAGTGGAGAATCTGGTTGCATCTCATCTCCACCCAAACTAGAAACTTTCCATGTCATCTAGTCCATCCCTTCGCCCCTTCGCTCCTGCTAGCCTACTTGGCGGAGCTCCAGAACCAGACTGCTGCAAACTCTGATGCTAGCAAGCCGTGGGAAGAGCTGGCCGTCGTTACGGACCAGTGTCTCCACCTCACTAGAGCAGCAGTACAAGCGGCGGGCAGAGCTCTCAGCATCATTGTCCTACAGGAGAGGGTGAACTGGCATTCTGGCATTCTGGATGAAAGCATTGACCCCGCTGGCCTTTTTGGGACCGTCTCTTTCATAGGAATAACTCTAAACTCCACCTTATACAGAGTGACTCTCTCTGTGGACAGAATAAAAAAAAATGCACACATGCCGGCATTTTTCAGGTGGGAAGATATCTCTCATTCAGAAAACTCCTGCAGATGCTGGGATTAATGGCGTCTTCACTAGCAGTCATTCCACTTGGCAGACTGCATATGAGGGAGTTTCAGCCATGGGTAGCATCACTGAGACTGAATCGAAAGCACCATATTCACCGCCATATCAGAGTCACAGCAGACTGTGCTGTGGCACTCCACTGTTGGAGAAATCCCAGATTTCTCACTCAGGGGCTGTCACAGCCAGAAAGGTGGTGACCACGCACGCAAGTCTCACGGGCTGGGGTGCCACAGCGGCAACTGGGGGTGCTCACATAAACTGGCTAGAATTGCTAGTAGCATTTCTAGCACTGAGACACTTTCTTCCCATTAAAGAAACCACCATGTTCTGATCAGAACAGACAACACCACTGTTGTGGGGTACATCAACAGACAGAGCGGGATACGGTCTCTTCCTTTGCACATGCTGGCTCGCAGACTGATCATGTGGAGCAGCATCAATCTGTTGTCATTGAGCGATATTCACATTCCAGGAGCTCTGAACTTAGGAGCAGACTTAATGTCCAAGGGGAACCCGCAGTACGGGGACTGGACCCTGCACCCACATGTGGTGTTTGCCTCAACGGAGAACGCTCAGTGTCCACTGTATTTCTCCCCGAGGGACCAGGAGGCTCTGCTAGAGGTAGATGCATTAGCTCACAATTGGCCACATGCTCTGCTTTATGCGTTTCCTCCACTGGCCTTAATTTCTCCCACTCTAACCAGAGTGACGAGGTCCCATTGGTTAGCAGAGATTATGCCCCTCTTGTGGAGCGAACCTTGGCTTCTCCCTATCTGACGAGACCTAGTATCCCAGGCCAGGGTATGAATATGAGTATGGCAGGACTCCCCTGCTAGTGGATGATGCCAAGGTCAGCTGTGAAGCTACAGTGGGGCAAAAAAGTATTTAGTCAGCCACCGATTGTGCAAGTTCGCCCACTTAAAATGATGACAGAGGTCAGTAATTTGCACCAGAGGTACACTTCAACTGTGAGAGACAGAATGTGAAAAAAAAATCCATGAATCCACA